CAAACAATTCCAGGGGTTAGGTTTCCATTTTGAGAAGTTGGATGAACAAAGTTAATGGGTTTCCATATCAGATCACTCGTGTTATTTCACATTGTTCCTACTTTTGACTTTCATTAAAAAAAAAAATAAGGTAGTTTCTTTTCAAACAAGAGTTTAAGGATTTCTTATTGCTTTATTGTAGTGAGTGCAAAGATTCATGTAAACCCCAAATTGCTATTTTTGGAGTTCTCCATAATCCACAATCCATTTTTCAGTTACTCTTGTTGTTACATCCTGTAACATGAGTTTTAGATTTTGAATTGCAGTTTGTAATAGTAAGATTTCCACAAAGTACGAAAAATTATCAATCAGTTCTGATTAGCAACTTGCGTCAAGCCTCCAAATCATGGGTTGCCCATCTTTGAATAAGCAATAGCCTCTTTATTGCTAGTTAGGTGCAAAAACAAACAGCATTGGAGGGAAAACATGAATCTACTATTTGAATATCTCTATGTTTATATGGAACTTTAGTTTGTATTATCTATGTGTTCCAAGTCTTTAGTTATTTGTTCTCCTCTCAATAACAACCTCCCTAATCAATATTATTGGCATGACAGATGAAGGACAGCGAGTTAAATGCACAGTGTTTGCTTCAGAACCTAACGATCTCAAAGACGAGAGAAGAAGAGGAGTCGTTCTATGGGTACCTCAAAGCCTTGATGAGCTCATTAACACAGCAAAGGAGCAATTAAGAGTTTCATCAGCAAATTGTGTAGTGTCAGAAGATGGAGCCAAAATCCTGGACACAAACACGATCTCTGATTGCCAAAAGCTGTTTTTAGTAAGCGAAAGCACATGAGGTTTTAAAAAAAATAGCACTATTCAACATATTGCAATTTCCAGGCGAGCTCTTTAGAGGAAGGAAACAAAACTAATATAGTTGTAATGTGTAACAGCTGAATAATTTATACAGTATAAAAACCTAATGTTGGAGCTTTCTGGCTACACCAAGACTATGAACTCTTATCACTGTGATTAAAATCAGCATGAAAAGCAGTTGGTGTTGAGGAGAGCACATGGTTATCATCTCATGTATATATTTGTTGATGAATTGTAGTTAAGCTTGAACTTAGGATCTCTATAATGTTATATTTGATTGTGTGATCACCTCAACTAATAATTTTAACACTTATACTCTATAAAATTAGTTTTAGTCCTTAACATATACTAGGCTCACAAAGAAAAGGTAGAAATAGAACCAACTGGCCCGTTTTGCCTCATCTTTGGAAAAAAATAGCATTGTCACGAAGTTTTAACTATGAAATTAGAAGCTTCGTAATAATGACTATAAAAAGCGGCTATTTATGAATTTTACCGAAAAAGTGGCATCTCGGGTCAAACTTGGACAATCCAGGCCCAGTAAAAATCAAACCATTTTCTTTGGGCCTTTGCTGCTCGAGTTAAAACGAAAATAGAACATAGCCATCAATATGAAGAAAAAAGACTCCCTTATCCAATAGTAGCTAGAACATCAGAAAGGATGATGAGCCTCTCCATTACCACTCCTTCTTCAAGTGTTAACTTTGCTTCCAAGTTAAACCTCTCTAAATCCTCCTTCCATGGCGTTCGGATTGCTCAAGTCTGTCCGGTTCATGCTCGAACCGCGCATTCCATAACGACAACTCGCTCTTCTTCATCAATGGTGGTGAAAATGGCGAAGAGAGATGAGGAATTGAAGGAAATTCGAACCAAAACTACTGAGGAGCTTCAGGAAGAGATTGTTGACCTTAAAGGAGAGCTCTTCATGCTTCGTCTTCAAAGATCAGCTCGTAATGAGTTTAAGTCAAGCGAGTTTCTTCGGATGCGTAAAAGGGTACTGTTTACTCTCCCTCTTTTCTGGTTTTACCGTTTGTTTTACTTGTTAGCTCCAGCTACAAAATGATTGTGTGAATTTCTCTGTGATTTTGGTTTTTATTCATTTCGTACAAAATTGGTGTGGTTTTGAGTTGGCAAATGTCACTGTTAAATGATCGTAGTTGTGGAGTCTGTAGTCTGTCATCTCCTTACGCATTTTGATGTCACATTATTAGCACTAGTTAGTGTTTATCTTCATGTTTAAGTGAGTCGGAGCAAATTTTGGACAATGGCATAAAACAGTGCCAAAATTATGGGATCACTTTGCACTGAAGAGAGAATCCTTATATGTCTGGAGGAGTTGCATCTACCTGGTAGATTCATGCTTTACTATTTTTAAGTATATGGCATTGTAGTTCCAGAGAGAACACAGTTAATAGCTTGTCCCTTGCAGCAATTATTGAGGATGTTGAGGGAATTTGCGCACCTATGATGAGGATGAAGAATTTGCAGCAATTTTTCTCCTACGTTTGCACTAATTTGAGAAACATTGTTGGTCCTTCTTAAGATGTTTCAATAGCCTTTGATTTGTTATGTGGATATCCAAGGTGTGAACATGGTGGTGTATGTTGTCCCAATCATTCCTTAGTCCCAAACTCGACCAGGGACTAAGGAGAAAAAGGTTTTGAGTTGCTGATTCCTAGTTTTTTTTCCTTCTGCGAGTGTAATAAGTAATACTAGTGCTTTAAGACTCAAAATAAATAAATAAGTAATACTAGTGCTTCTGCTCATAGCAGAAATGAGCATGTGTGAAGTTTCCTATTCTAAACTATAATGAAGGTGAGCTTCAGTCAATGAACTGAAAGAATGAACTCAATTTCTATGTGAGAGGTCATCAGAATCTTTGAATGTAGTAGATTCAACCAAATTTCAGTATCAACAAGTTGTAGCAGCTTAATAGGTCTGTTTGAAAATGTTTTTCTGATCTTCATGTTAATTGTCTTGTATTTTTTTTCCTAATTTGAAGTTTATTGTGTGTCAACTATCCAATCCTTGTGTTTGCAAGGCTATTGTTCTCAGCATAACACTCCTGAGGTCCTAAGATGAATAGCAGTCAGTTCTCGTCATGATGAATAGAGGGATATCATCTCCTTGGTCACAAAAGATTAGCATCAGTACTGATTGAGAATAACTGTTTTTTTTGTTACTTGTAAAGGGGGCATGTTTTTTGGGTTGAACTCTAGCAGTTATGGTTGGTCTTTCCATCATTTTTCCTTGATTTCATTTAATGTTTTTCTGGTGTGCCTACATTCTTTCTAGTCTCCAACTTTGTCTCTCTTTTTTTTTTTTTTGGGGAGGGAGGGGGGAGTGATGGTCTTCAAGTTCTTGAATACATATGGTAGTACTGTAAGCTTAATCTTTCACCTGTCGCATGTAACCATGTGCAATTCCATGCTTGTGTTGCCTTCCCTGAATTTTCAGCAATGTTCATTTTCCATTTCCTTGGATTGGGTAGTTACACTTACCTTTTCTCATGTTTAACTTCTTAATCTAATTTACTTTTGTTTCTGATGGTCTGGCTTTCGTAATATGTTAGATTGCTCGAATGCTTACTGTTAAACGGGAGCGTGAGATGGAAGAAGGAATTAACAAAAGGATATCCAGGAAGCTTGATCGGAAATGGAAGAAAAGCATTGTTCCTAGACCACCTCCTTCTTTGAAGAAATTGCGAGAGGAAGAGGCAGCTGAAGAGGCTAAGGAATCTGCCTGATTTTAACACATTTTCATTGGTAAATGTTATATTTTCATCTCTCTTCTTTTCTCATTTGGTGCTCCTTTCAGGTCAAATAGTACAAGGTGATTCTTTTTTTGTGTAAGGCTGTTTGTTTTGCAGATGATTATTCTTGGCATGTAATTTTAATCCTCTATGTGGTGCCATTTCTCTTCCAGTTAAAATTGTGTGAATTTGATAGAGTAGCTAATGTTGTGATTCTTTTCCTGAATTTCCAGTTACATGCTACCAGACAACATAGTCAAATTTTAGATGAACAGTGTAGTCAACCCTCAATTGAGTGAATATCTTTTACCCCTCAATAGATGAGCAATATAGTCAAACCACAAGGCTGAATCAAAGAGAACTGTTGTTATTATTGGTGAAATAGACTAATATTTTAAGTGATAGAGGTTGCTTTCTTTAAGAATTGAGGATACAGCCATATAGTATATTCCAAAGAGGGTATTGAATTCAATTTTTTCTGAAAGACTGAGTCCTATATCTAAACTAGAAGGCAGCTGTATAATTTAAATGCATATCAAAATAGAGCCATACTTGAGGCTACTTTTGATGGTGATGGAAAAGCTTCTTTCAATTATCGGAAATAGCCTCTCTACCTCCCAAGGTACGGTAAGGTCTTTTTACACATTACCCTCCCAAGGCCCCGCTTGTGGGATTACACTGGGTATGTTGTTGTTGTTGTTATACAGGGATACATCCTGTTTCGCCAAGCGTTATTGCTCCCAGAGCATTGATTTTGATTTGTAGTTCTGGTGTAAGTTTCATTGTTGTCCGTTGTCGGTTAGTATGCATATAATGTTTTTCATTATTTTTAGATTATTGAATAAGATGCTTATGGGTTTTAATATAGTCTCAAATCTCATTTTAGTTAGATATAGTATAGCTACTTCCTGGAACGACACTCCAGGTGGGATGCAAACATATCAGTAACTAATGAACATCCTTTGCTCCCTCTCCTCTTCATTTGGTTCTCCAATATTTAGCAAACGAGTTGGCTGAATTTAATACTGTGTCAATGCTTCTCGTTAATGCCAATATCCATATACTAATCGCTGAATAGTGTGAAACCATTTAATACAATACAGAACGCGGTGATGTTTGTTGGCATACTGACAACCGCTTCATCCAGATGCATGAATTTAATGATGTTTGTTCTTAATAAATTCAAATCTTCAACCACTGTAACTCCAAACGCCTTAGTTGGGCGTTGAGAGATGGTAGGTTTGGTCATCTCACCAAGAGAAAGGCAGTGAATCTGTTGGATTTGCCCAAGTTTTTGATAATCACAACTGGATTGTCAATATTGAACTAAAAACCTCGATAATCAAGTATTAAATCATAAGCATTTATCAAGATGTAATTTTTTTTGCATTGTGAGTTCATGGCTCATGATTATGACAAGGGATATAGCATAATAATGGCATTTCCAAGCATCTAAAAGAAAAATAGGGTGGTAGTTTACCAAGATACTATTTTAACCAAAAGTTGTGCCTATTTTACATTAACTGATAATAATATTGAAATGGAAAGGTATGAAATGTTTAGTTCTGCGATGAGTCACCAAAAATGCTTCTCAGAATTGAAGAGCCTTCAGTCCCATCACTGTTGTTACCATCACCTACGAATCCCTGCATGATAGTTTGACCAACCTGCTGAGCTGCAACTTCCACAAGTCCTTGAAATGCAGCATTCATCATATCATTGTTTGTCCCAGGAGACTGTATGTATTGATCAGGCCTAACCAGTCCTTGAATTAGAGGAGGTTGCAGGGATTGGTGCTGGGGGATTGAACCTGTACTTGTACTATAGAGTAATAGGTTTGGCCTTGCTTGGGCTGTACCCAGACTGGCCTGTGTGTACTGATTTGGCATTGCTTGTCCTGATAATATGGGAGTCTGTGGGAGCTGGTTTCCCATTGCACCTGAACTTGCACTTTGCACCAACTGGTTAGGCCTCTTTTTTTCCACCATAGGAGGCTGCTGGAACTGGTTATGTGAACTTGTTGCCCCAGGGAATGAATGGCGGTGCTGGAGGATAGTTGACCCTTGAACTGCTGATTTTGGGGAAGAATTTGAACAATCCAAATGAACATCAAAATCACAAGTGCCACATCTATAAAGCCACTGCTTAACTCCAATCTTCTGGCATACATCACAAGAGAAACCTTTGGCATCAGCATAAGGATTCTTGAAGGTGAGTTCCAGCTGGCATTGATGCAATTGATGTGTGATTTTGAGGGGTTTTGATGCACAGATCACATGGAGATCATATTCGCAGTCTCTGCAGTGGTAGCTGAATCCATCACCGCGGTGGTTGCAGGCATCACAATTGAAAAGGCCATGGGGGTATTTAGACCTCGGAAGGAGAGCCAGAGGGTGGTCTGGATGAGCAGGGTGATTTATCAGCTTTGGGAACTGAGTACAACTCAAATGGAGGGTAAAATTGCAAGGCTTGCATGTGTACATTTGGGGTGATGATGGGAGTTTGCATCCTGAACAAGGTGTGGGATTATTCTGGAGTTGGATGCATAGCTCTAATTCATGTGGATGACTGAAGTGCTTGAGTCTTGGAGTTGGATCACTATTCAGCTTCAACCTCCCCATCAACGTTCCTCTGTTGTACTCTTCTCTTCTCCTCTCTACTCTTTATTAGTACTAGTTAGTATTCTTGTTTGTGATGCAACTTGTTATTAATGCAATTAGATAGAGGTGTTGAGGAGATGAGTGAGAAGCAAAAGACAGAAAACAATTTGTTTGACTTTTGGAAGTCAAATTCCTACATGGTTCTTTCACTGAATTGGATGTGTAGTGATGCAAACTGCATTGAATGAACTTCTTTGACTAATTCTTTAACCTGGTTTTACTTAATTTTAGTGTGGCAAGGATGGTTGGATAGTCTTTAGTTTCTCGGTCAAGAAGAAAGATGATCGTTGAATTTTTTACTAGTGAGCAGTGACAACTTACTCCCTTTGTCCCTAATTACTTGTCCATTTTTCCTTTTATAGTTGTTCCTAATTACTTGTTCATTTTGACAAATCAAGAAAGGATAAAAAAATTTTACCTATCATATCTTCAATTAAATGACTAATTACTTTGAAAAATGCAGAACTTTTCATTTACTTTATAATTAATAGGGGCAAAATGGTAAACTCTTATATCATTAATTAATTTTTTAATAGGCGTGTCAATTCAAAAGTGGACAAGTAATTAGAGACGGAGGGAGTATTATGTAAGACCCCTTACTTTAATGCGACATTTACATCACCAAAAATAAGCCTTCAGTTAGAGACACCCTACATATACAAATATAGTTGGTAAAAGTTTCAAAGAAATTCATCCACTTTATAATTTTAGACTTGTAGTTATCTCCTGGTGAACCATATACCGCTAACCCCTTCGCCTTATCTCCTGGCTAATTGTGCACCGTTGTCCTTTATAGTGACGGAGACAAAAAAATTTCATCTTTTACACCATGTGTGTGATTTTCTGACAATGAACCCCCCTTGCTCCTCTAGCTGCATTTGGGGCTCTTGGGATATCTCTTGTTATAAAAAAAAAAAATGACTAACAGGCTATTAGACCTCATTAAGCCAATCTTCTTTTGAAAAAATTCTGGAATCTTGCTTCAATTATTTGGATCGACATTTTCTTTTGATCACAATTAGTAGAGTCAGATAAAATTAAATACATTGCATTTTGTAGTAATTATTTTGAGTCTGAAAGCAGAAACCAAGGAGCGACTTCATTAAAAATGGCTCGAAGATTAAGGCTGTCTTTTCTATTTTTAATCGGATAGGATTTATAGTCCCTTTATTATTTGTCGACATATGTAATTCTAAAGAAAATTTAATTAAATATATTTTATTAAATTAGTTTTATTAATAATATTTTTAAATTTAATTATTATTATTATTATTTTATGTAACTATTTAATAATAAAAGTAGTATGAAAAAGAAGTATTAATAAAGCTTTATTGATTTACAAAAATAGATTAATAAATTGTTATTTCCCCTAAACAAGGAAACGGAGGAAGTACTCATTTTACTTACTTTTGGTATAAATACCTAATCGATAAAGTTTTTACCAAATTATTGTTTCTCCTAAATATTGATTTGTTTTAACATGTTCATATTTTATTGGTTCCCTTAATAAAAATTCTGGTCCGATATTAAATTCAACTACTCTGTCTCCTGTTTTTGGCGTGCTTATTAATTTCTAGCCTACCTTCACTTAAATTACAAATTGCCCTATAAATACTTATTTCATCTAGAGGATAGTTTAGTAATTTCAGACAGTAAGCCTTGATTAGATTTAAGGAGAAGCTTCTTCAATCTTGTCAATTAAGAAATATCGTTTTGTGTGAAATCAAAACCACCAAAATTGTATAATAATAAGAAGAAGATCGTCTTCAGAAGCAACACAGATTCAGAGAAAATGGCGTTACAGTGGATGATACTGACGTATGTTGTAGCGGCAGAGGCGGCCATAGCAATTCTCCTGACATTGCCATCTCCAAAAGCAATCAAATCTCGTTTCGTTTCCCTAATTTCACTCACTCTTCAGCCTTCTTTATTCATCATACCCTTCGCCGGTTTCCAGCTCCTTGGTACTAATTAATACGCTTTTTCTTTTATCTATCTATTGCAATTTGTGTGTAATTTTGTGTTTTGTTTTTTATTAGATATATATTGGAAGAATGAGCATCGGTTGATGTGCACCGGTGAGATCTGCACTGCTGCTGAGAGAGACCGCTACGAGAGATCGGTAAATTTTCTCTATCGTTTATATTTTACAGGGTTGTATATTGATTAAACTGAACTTGGTGATTATTAGGTCTAGAAGATACTTAGTATTTTAGTACTGATTAACGAGTTGATTGTATTTGTGTTTTTCTAATTTTGAGACCTCGAAATTGAGGTATTCTCAATATGTGATCCTTGCACTCTTATTGTTACTGAAGAAACCTCAAGGATTACACCATGGAATTATCTAGCTCTTCCATCTTTTTTTTTATTAATGTTTTGTTGCTTTACACTCCTTACCATTTTCTACAAGCCTTGTGCTTAAGTTTTCTTCGATAGAGTGGTCCACGAGGCCAAGTTTGATCCAAGATTTGAAGTTGATAGGTTCTTATAACAATCTCAAGTTAATATATAATAACAATTGATATTTGTAAATTTTTATAGATTTCTTAATACAAATACATGTGTTTACATGAATTGATACCTTATAGGCTACGTCCACCCCGGCCCAGTTTCACTCTTTCTAGAATCGGATAGAGATATAAAATCATGCTGACATTTTCTTGATAACTATGTTTCCTGGACTTGGATATGTTAGTCAGACATTGGTTTTTTTTTAGGTGTCTAATTTGCAAAGGACCTTAGATTTATTATAAAGAGGAATGGGCAGATTGTTGGAGATTGATATAAAGATATGAGTAATAAAATGAACATTATACATGATATTTGACTATCTGGTCATCATGTAAAGGGAAAATACCTTTTTAGGTTGGAGGATACTTGCTGATTTAAACTTAAAGAGGAAAACAACAAGGGAGGGATTTATTATCTATATTGACTCATCAAAAATGCTCTTCTTCAAATTGGAATCGACTACTACTACTTAGCGTTGCATGGTTGGTAGAAGTTGAAACATCCTAACTACTTCAACCGAATACAACGCATATCCCACTCTACTATACCAATATACGTCACGTTGACACTTCTCACTGAATAGTCTGAATTGGTAAAAAGAGCGGCAATATGATAAACTAAGATAATAAGTAAAATTGGATTTTTGGTAGCTACCATTAATCTATGTAATATGTGGCATTAAAGGGAAAGTAACTAAGGGGTGTCTTCTTCATGGTTTTCACATGAACTTATTAGGGGTTGTACTAGTGTCAAACTACGGTGAGTCGGTGACACAAAAACAGGAGCAACACGTGCAAGATCAAGTGATGATGAAAATATGAGCCAATTGGGGAAAGCAATTTTCATTGCTTTGAAAAGTAGAAATTTCAGTAATCTGCTGGCAAATTGAGGGAAACGTGGGGAGAAACCATAATTTGTTGTTGTTCTTTTCCAATTAAGGGAAGTGGTGAAATTGTTTCATCGATTTGATATCTGTGTAAATGCATCTAGGCAGAATGAAACCTTTAAAGCATCTAGGCAGAATGAAACCTTAACTCAAAGGTCAATACACTTTGTTTGGACGGATTTTTTTTCATTTTTCTTTTATCCTTTTCTTTTTGCCCTTTCTACTTCTTAATGGGGGAGTTTGCACCATAAGGAAATACTTTGTGCCTTTTTATAAATGTGCTACTTACCTTTCACTTTTTTTTTTTTTTTGATAACCGAGAAATCCGTCTGTGACCCGCCCTTTGGACCAATCACAGCCTTCTAAACTTGGTGGATAATGGGGCCGCCCCTCTACCCTTCTCCACTTAAATACCAAGCTTCACTTTGCATGGTGTGGGGCTTGAACTTGCGACCTAAGCCACAAATCCTCCACCTTTTGCCACTTGAGCTAGGCCTTGGGGGCTACCTTTCACCTTTTTTGCCACTCATCTATTTTCTTATTGTTGAGAAGAAGCATACACAAACATTAACTAAATGGTCAGTCCAAGGATGAATTTATATGGTTGTTTCAGGGGTGGCTTCTCTCTCTTTTTTTATTTAAATGTTTATATACACATTGAGTTGGAAAAAAATATATACTGATTGAGCAAAAAGAAGTTTTGTGTTAATATACGGAGTTGGGTTGGGCATCATGGTGGGAAACAGGTCATTTGATGACTGCTATTAGCATGAAAGGCTTGCAAACTTATTACTGTAACATCACTTCTTATTTCATCTATCTGCAGTCATGGATCAAATGCTTTCGATCTACTTCAGTGGATCTGAATCCAAAGATTGAGTTCAGTCTTAGCAATATAATCTACCTGATCCCTGATTCCTGGTCCTTAAAAATATCAAGTTCAGATATATGAGAAACCATTCACTACTGTATTTCCTTTCCAAACCTGCTTTGATATGCTTTACTTGAGCCGAGGGTCTTTATTCTTTCGGAAACAACCTCTCTACCTTCACAAGTAGGGGTAAGGTCTACGTGCACACCATCCTCCCCAGACCCACTTGTGGGATTACACTAGCTATGTTGTAGAAATATGAGAAACCACAACCTATGGAATGACATTTTAGGTTTTCCTTATTGCTCTCATACATTGGTTCTGAGAGACATTATTCCAAGTATTCCCTTCACCAATAACTTGAACGTGCTGACATCACATATGAAGCATGAGTTGCACTGGTCCCCCCTCGCCTCTTTCCTATTTATGCAAAACGATACAGCAGCTCAGTGATAACTAAATGCATCTACCATTACGTTCTGGCTGTATTACCTCATCAGTCTCCCTAATTATATGCAGATCTACAAGGCTCAAAGAAATGCTATTCTGTGTGTAGCAGCATGCCTTCTCTACTGGTACATATGCTTAATCCCTTGGGACCTTATATTTTGATGCAAAGCAATCTATTTTTCAGTTCATTACAAAGTGTTTTTATGTGTGTATAGGTGTATCTATCGTGTCTGCAAGTATTACAAGGAGATTCAGAGCGTTGAGGAGGTGGAAAAGAGACTCAAAGACGAGTAGGTTTTTTAGGCTGCAGCACTTCCACTAGTATTTGAGATCTAGTTGTAGCATAGCTCAAACGGTTCCCTTAGTACTTTGTAATGTGATATGAATCTTGTGTTTCGCTTTGCTACTGCCATCTAATGACATGCTTTTGTTAGGTTTTTGTGTGCTCCTCTTACACGAGGTGGTTCTTTTTTATTTGAAAAACATGTTAGTGGTCGTTACCAGTCACCTATATACATTCTATACTATCTACTTTCATCTTCTCAGGTTTCTTGTATAATTACATTCAGTAATGCCACGTTGGGACTAGAACAACTTTACAAGGTTACCAAGAAAACTCATCGACTTAACACTTACTTATATCTAGAAAGAACTACTAGGTATAAGATACTTTATACCCTGTGCACACCCAAAGGGTAGGGATGCGGGTTTCCCTTGTCTTCAAAAAAAAAAAAAAAAGACTTTATACTAGCATATTTACAGTGAAATAAATATTTATATTTTTTAAATAACTAGTATAAATTTTTTGTTTCCTTTTTCAATAGTGTACATCTGGGGAAAAAATGGCAAAAATCAACATAGAGCGATAGTTCTTTTTGATGTATTCAGAATTTTTTGGTTATGGAAGAGAGAAAAAGTAGGCTCTCCTTTCTTTTTATCAACACTGGAGTTTGGTATAGATTGCAACATATATTGACGTTTTGGCTACAGCATTAATCTCGGGATTATAATTATCTATTGTGATCCCACACTGGGCACTACTATATCATTATAAAATCTTTTATAATTGTAATATTCACAAATCACTGCCATTCTTTTAAGTGCAAGTAAATAATTGTAATATTCACAAATCACTGCTATTCTTGTAAATAAGTCTAAGTAATTGATACACTGTAAAACGGGCAAACGTTGTTCTATACAAACCAACACAAAGGGAAAATCACTCTTCATTTTATAACTCAAAAAGCTGAGACATTTACAAGAAAAGAGAGTCCAAAACCTGTTCTACATTTTTACAAGCTATGAGGAACTAAGGATCAACACATAATCCATTTCAATTCATCAAATCTGCTACATCTATTCAAATGAAATCACTGATTGTCTCAATCGTTAAAAGAAATGCTATACTCCTTCCTTCCAGTAAGTCGAAGTTCTGAATGATGTTGTGGAGCCACTAGAAAAGCACAAGGCTGCAGATTATTATGACAAAACCAAGTGGCAAACTGATATCTCATTCTTCCCCTGCAACATGGCGACCAAGATCATTTTTGCTGCACTTTTAGTCGGTTTCTGTACTGGAGTAAGAATCATCATCGGCCATGCAATACATCCTTTTCTTCTCTTCCTCCCACATTAGAACTTCCCGTATATACCTAAATGTTTCATCGACAGATGTACGTTCAAGTGCCCTGGTTGGCCAGACAAAAAGTTTTTTGCCTGTGATTGAAGCATAGACCTGTTTGAACATAACAGCAACATAATAATATGCTTGATTTGCCAGGGCTTGATTATTTTGTCGATGTCTGAAAGGTCTAAAGTCATGAAACCAATCACAGACTGTCAAAGGAACTTGGTTGATTTTATCCTCAAAGCTATCATATTTATTTAGGAGCAGCACGAAGGAAGCATCCTCGAAACTACTATGTCTAACTAAACTCTCAAATACATCTCTGCTTGCCAACATTTTATTTTCTGAGGTACCATCACCTCGGGTCCACTCCAGGTCATAGTCGCTCAAGGCCACACAAAAGACTACAACTTTGACATCTTCAAACATTTCAAGCCATTTGCCACTATCATGGACTCCCTTGGAGCTGATACGGATCAATTGATACCTAAAGGAAGACGAACAGAAGAAGCAAATGGTTACTGAGGAGCGATGAGTACAAGTCGAATTTTATCACACCAATATCAGCCATGCAAAAAGAGTTACTTGGTCCAAGAAGGTTGGCTTTCTAAGTCCTCGCCGTAGATCTCAGACATGGGGCTGTGATCATCAAATGAGAATTCAAGAGAAGCAAGCCCATTGCTAGGAGTCACCCCTTCAGCATATAAAATGTCTCTTTCTGAAGGTTCATACTCATTACTAGATATCTCGAGGGCCTGGCAGAAGTAAGATGACATATTGGACTAGCAGAGACAAAGCTAAAATTCAAGAAAAGCATTATCAAAGATGAATATAAAAGTTTAGCAACATCTAGCAAGCAATTACAGAACCAAGAAGAAATCTACATAACCCTTGAGATATCAATAGCACTGACAATGAGAATATTGTAAGCACATTAGATTGGAAGATAATCTCTAAAGAAATGAACTTTAACAATTATTTCAAACCTAAGTAGCCTTTATAGATATGTAATACTTTCTTTGATGATGACTCGAAGTTGTTTAGCCCATTATCACTGTAATTCAGTGTTTATGCTTAAACAAAGTTAGCAACATCTTTTGACTTACACAATGGGCAGTAAAAACCATAAACTTGACATGACCTGTTTACTGAAGTGTTTTTGCTGGAAACGCATTGATCTATCAATTCAGGAAATATTAACCTTATTATTAAATGGTGACATCTGGATCTTCTTGTGAAGGGTCACCCTAACTTTTTTTTGTTTGATGACAAGGGAAACCCGTAGCCACTACCCTTTGGGTGCGCACAGGGTAAAACCCCGCTCCTATGCAATAGCTCGCAAACCACATAGGAGAGGTAACCCGCACTAGGCAAGCCCAGTGCGACGAGCTCGATCCAGAAGACAAACCCCTTGCTTTTGCTGGCAAGGGGTTTCGAACTTGACATTATAAATAATAGTGAAAGCTATAAAAAATGTCAATTTTGTTTGGTAAGTAAATAATAAATTTTTAAAAATTAGGTAAATTCCTGATGCTATTAATAGTCGAAAACCATGCAATATCAGCTTCCATTTGTCAAAATAAAATCAAGTAATAAAAACATCAACCCAGGCATTGTGTATCATATATTGATTTCTTGATTTATCTTTGTAACTTGATTTAGCACAAACTACCAAATGATTCATTTACATCATATATTCGAATGTGTATTTCTTTACATACTTACAAATATTTTTAAAATGTTTACTCATTTTCATCCAAATGCATTAAACATATACTTAAGACCTTACTCCATGTCCACGTCAAGTATCGTGTCCTAAATTGCCACCCCCAAACCAAATGTTATTCAGTAGTTGCAGATTCCATTTACAGAAACACAAAGTTAAATCATAGTATAAACAAGGTATACCTGATCCAGGAAATAGTTAGCAGTATCAGGAAGAAAATGCAGTTCACCCCTTCTCTTGTATGTTTCCTGGATGGCAGGGTCTCTCCAGATCTCATCTACAACTGGTGCATATTCACGTGTAGCAGCAGGAAAGAAAGCATCCAAATCTCCCATAGCTATGATTTCCAGTAACCAATCAGAAAAATGTTTTACTCTTTGATTGATTGAGTATATGCAGCGCCTGCTCCCATCAGTTCCTGTTTCACCAGAATTAACTTTACAGTATCCACCCAACAGTAAAATATTAAGATATTGCCCACGTGATATATATAGCCATCAAGGAGAGGATGTCGTTGAGCTTACAAACAGCTCACTCAACACAGACAGATATGTATACACACATGTGAGTATTCTATATATATGTATATAAGGGGTCAGTGAAACTGTGTATACTTTAAAGTAATGTTTCCCCAAAACATTAGACAACCTAAGTTGGAAATAGAGTAGGACAATTCATTTAATGCTTTGCTTAAGGAATATGCTACTTAACTAGCCCTTTGAAGATTGTGAAACACAACCACCTAGGATCCATTGGTTAACCCATGACAAGCCAACTTTGACATTAAATAAGGGTCATATTCCATCCTTTAAGAACATAACAAGGATGAAAATATACAGAACCAGACCTCAAACCCAGTCTTCCCCACGTGTATACTACACAGTCAAATCAGAAAAAAAGCAAACCTAATTTTTCTTGTAAAAAGCATGCACCTGTAGTAGTAGGAAAAAAATATATCTGCATGTGCCCTTCTTCTACTTGTCATTTCTAACACAATGCATTTACCAATTTGCTTCCTTATTTATCAAAAGTAGCTACGCTTTGCAGACCTTTATTTTTGTCAATTTAAAAAATAAACTAGGATTACAAGAATCCAGCATGGGTTCAACTCAAGTTGGGTGAGGTTCAACAATCAAGGAGTGTTTAGAATACCTGGTGAAAGATTTTCTCTCTCCGAATCAGAAGTTCCCTTATCCATCAATGCCTCCTCCTCAAAGTGCTCTCGCCCCTCGAGCAAGACACTAAGGTATCTATAGATGTTTCTTTGAATGGTAAGCTTGATATTTTGTACCTCATCAACTGTGAATTTGCTTTTAGACATAAACTTCACCTGTTGTATTGAAAGAAGTGGAGGATATAATAGATTAAGAAATCACCATGGAAAAAAATATAAGGTTTTGTAACAGTAACAAATAGGCAGTTTCCAGGTTCGAACATGTCAGTTATGCAGGAAAATGATAGAAGCAACTTAATATAAACCATTAAAATTGGTCTGTGTTCCACTAGAGTGAAAATGTTCCCTAGTTAGTACTCCAGATGATCCACCAAGATATGAACCGTTGAAAAGATAACTCAAAAAAAGTCAATTAGAGTGCAATTTACCAAGTAAGAAGTAAGGCGCTTTTAGTTTGAATTTCGGATTGAAAGGAAAAGAGTCGGTTAGTGTGTATATTCAACAAATTTTTAGTCTCAAAAACTTAATGACATGAATGAAGATAATGCAATTACCAAATTGTAACTTGTAATATGATCAAGAAGTAGTAGTACTAATTTTCCTTCAAAAAGAAGGAACAAGAATAATGAATCTTCTGTTAAAGAGCATCATAGAAAACTGCAAGCTTCTTATTATGAAGGAATTTCCTACAAACTTATGTTAATAATTGAAGATATATAATTACGTATGCAGACCTGCTTAAAAATGGTGCTTGTCCCGGATCCTTCCAACCCAAACAACAAAAGTTTCTGTACTCTACCATGCTCCAAATACTCAGGTATAGACCCACCTGAAAAGGCAGTTGCATCTTCTTTTGGCCCATGAATATTTGCAGGTGGAACAGGCAATGAAAACAGTGAACAAATGAAACGAGTAGATGCCTGCCTAACAAAAAGTATAGCTGTAACTAATTAAAATGTAAACATAAAGTATTTTAAAAGATCATAACTGCACTCAATTGAAGAATTTTACTTAGAAGGATAACGAGAGAACCTTTCCCCATATGTTTCCTCTAATGTTATTTTGACCTTCTTCCTCGTAGGATCCATCCTCGTATACCCAAAAGTGAGTACCTCGTTGACACTGAACCTTGGCTAACTGATAAAAGAGGAAAGATTTCAGCACAGATAGAAAGGTTTTCCATTCTTATAAGACATCATCATCTCTATAATTTTATCTCAATTGATTTCCAGAATGCAATGTGAACCCAGGAATCCAGTATTGAACATCTCGAAACCTCTAATTCAGGGGCGCTATATAGGAAAATATTTGTTTGAGAAAAATTAATTAGTATATCATTACTTAAGTGGGAGGGCAAGGCTAAAATGGGTTCAAGCTCTTCCAGCCTCTCTCCCTTTCTGCGACAACTAAAAAGATGCTACTTCAACTGCATCACTTAAAGTTACAGGCTTGCAGCTTTCATGTTTCATGTCAGTCCATTACATGACACAGTCTTAAACCTTCCTTCAACAACAACACTCTTCAAGAAAGCACATAATTCTTCTGCGCAATACACCAATAGAATCTTACATGCGTCAGAATGATCAAGCGGTGACCAGCAAAATATGATTCTAATAATCATATGTCAAGCTTCACTCCTAAAAAAATAAAGTGATAACTTAAATAAATTTAGAAACTTCTACAAACTATAGGAACAACAATAATATCCGTTGAACACTCAATTTCAGAATCTCTTTTTTTTATATACGAAAATGCTGTCATCCAGATTAATTTCAGAATCTCTAATCAACAAGGAAAATCGACTAAAGCTAAAAACATGAAAGCCATGATAGAATGATCCAATGGGCAATGGATTCTGAGAGTATTTCTTAACATACACTTAAATAGGACTGAATATAATCACATGCACACATGCATCAGAAAATTCTGAATAATCCAATAATCCAATTTACTTTACCTTCAGAACCCTGAACTCAACCTTTGTAATCTCCCGGCCATTGATGAATACTTTTGTGTTTCCTTTACTAGCATCAATCTGAAGCTTACCACCCACATTCAGTTTTGAACTTATTATCCTATCTGGCTTCTCTCCCTCCTACAATAAGAAAACATGTAAAATGAAATACCAACAGATTCCGCAAATTCACAAAAGGACAATAAAAACTGCTCAGTACTCACCTTTCCCCAAAGCCCTGAATCCTTGTCATACCAATACTTTCCAGGTCTCAAATTCTGTGGTGACATTGCACATCCAAGCAACTCTACCAATTCTTCCTCCCGCAATGGCCTTCCATTGACCCACACCTGCTCAGGTTGAATTTGGTTCGCCAAGCACTCACTCTCAGCCTTCATTATCTGCTTGACTTCCAATGGACTGCAGACTTTCGCCAGCAAACGCGAACACTTACCCAATTTCTCTCTGTTAGCCTCATCTATAGTCTCTCCTATGCATCCCACACATTTCCTACCCTCTGGCATTGAGCCCATAGCCTTAAGCAAACAGTTTCTACAGTACCTAGCCCCACACACAATGCAAAACTCTCTCTCCCTTAACCTACTCTTCTTCCCACACCTACTACAGACCCGAACCCTAACCTTATCCCCTAGACTATCATTTTTCCCATCTTTCTCCCCTACCGGCAATGATTTACCATCAACATAATCAGACCGCGGTGAATTATACTCATTTCTAGCAACGCTATTATATTGATCATCATCATGTTCATATTCATTCTCAACATTTTCATCAATATCAGAAGTCAGAACATTACCACTATTGTTCAAGTCCGAAAGAGACTGATCCGTCGGGATTTTACTTTCGAATTCCGAGCTGGAATTGTTGCGTAGCCTTGAAGCCGAACTCGAACTTCCACTTCCGCTACTGTTTTTCGTCATGTGCAGAGCAAACTTAGAATGAACAGACGGTACCTTACGGTATTTGGGAGGTTTTTGGAGGGTAGTTTGGGAAGAGAGTGGATCAACTACAGGAACAGGAAAATCCAACGGAGGACCTTTATACTCAACGGCGATGGAGTAGTCGAGTTGTTCATCGTCCGGCAACGGAGCTCCTGCCGGCAACATTCTCCGGAGAAGATCTTGCCAGGCGTCGGAATCGGAGTCAGCGAATGGCTCGGTCATGTGGGGAATTCAGTAGGTAGAAGAAGGAATTTGAAGAGTATGAAATGGACATGGCGACATATTTGGTTTGGCAAAATTGGTTAGGTTTGATTTAGGGTGCACGTAACTGAAAATGAACAATTAAGAGGGAGAAAAGGGATGAACTGGGAAAGGAAGAAACAAAGGACGGTGGCCAGGTGGGCGTTTGTTTTGAAAATTAAAAGCAATATTAAAGTTACTAAAACCTCTCTGCGCGTCACTAGTAAAAACAGTAAAGACTCTTCTAATTAACACCGTCTTTTTATAGTTTGCCAACTGAACACCGACTAATCTAAATTAGTTTTGAAAAGTTACACTTTAAATAAAAATATTATCTATCAAATTATGTATAGTTGGTGTCCTTGTGTATGAATTATTAACAGTATATACTGTCTTTGATTATGAAAATGATATGTCGTAGACTCGATCGGTTGCTTATTCGTCCACAAACTTTCCTTTCCTCTCTCATTTACAAACCCAATTTGAGAATAGAGGGGATTTCCACTAAAAACTACCAAAGTTTGTCTTCATTTACTTTCAAGACCCTTGTTTGCAAAAATTTCAAAAAGGGTGTCAAAGATAGCAAATATTTTTAAAAAATTGATAATATTAAGTACCAAAAAATAACAATCAAACTAAGCAATATTTAATTAAATATAAGAATATTTTAAATAAAATTAACAAGTTTATAATTCAAAACTAACATAAAAGGAATGAACAAAAGTTGGGACATCCAACCCTAATTTGAAATCATTTACCACCAAGCTACTCGACATTTACGTTGAAGTTACGCATTTCTTATTGGGAAAATTATTAACTTCTAGCAGGCCATAATAATTTCCTGGGCTATAATTAAAAACTAACATAAAAGAAATGAATTGAATGTGGAACGTCCAACACCAATTTGAAACCATTTACCAGCAAGATATTGGACATTCATATTAAAATGTTCGTCAAGAGTTGAACTACATCCAATACAAATATAAAATAAAACTTTACCTATATATATATATATAGAGAGAGAGAGAGAGAGTAGGTGTTCAGTTGGACAGCTTGGAGACACCATATCTCCGCCCCTGTCTGCATTATAAATGAGGACAAGTTCTTGAATATTATAGGTGGATCTAACAATTGTTTAATCATGCAACAGGATATCAGTTCTGGTAATAATAAGAAAAAATGGCAGAAGACGACACCACTCCTTAAACCTTATGTATTCGACACTGGAACCTTGCAAAATGTTGCGACTCGGATCATATCGGCCCTACTACACAAATCAAACGGACCTATAGCTCGTAACAAAGTCAGTTTGGGCACAAATTATAACAAGTGATTGAAATTAACACCAGTTGGGACAACGCATGAGTTTAAGTGGTGGTCTTGTTAATTTCCTCTACAATCCAAGATGTTACTGTCTTAAAGTTAAAACAGAATTACGAGTAAAACGATATTAAGTTACATTAACTTTGCTATGCTTTATGAGAACGAAGAAGCAGGAGCACTGCAAAAATAATCCGAGCCAGCAAAGGCTTTTGAAGCAATCTTCTCGTTACTTGCCATAACTATTAACTGGGAAGGTTATACTAAAAAAAAATTGAAGCGTTCCCAGCATACCAGCAGACAAATTGAATACCGAACAAACTGATGGTTCCATTAATACTCTAAGATATCCTTTCAGTAGAAGGAGATACTGTACAGGAGCTTCCGTCTGTGCTGTTTCTCAAAATTATTGATGATATCGTCAATTGTATCCTCCCAATTTTCAGTCGCATCAAGCTGCAGTGAAAACTTATACTATTAGTGAGGGACAAAGCAAAATTAATTTTGTGATAATTTGAAGATCCACAAACCACATACTTCTTGACACAAAATCAAAGCAAGACGACCTCCAATTGCTGCCTCCTCGTGGTTATCTTTTACTTCTAAATTGATAACAAGAACCGGCTTCAAGAGATGTTGGTTTCGGTTATGAAGATCTGCATTATCAAACCATATATGGTTAAAACAATTATGCTTGATATCCACAAATGCATGAAAAAGAAACACTCATCAAAAATGTAAGCAGACCAATTTTCAAATTATTCGGCAGTAGAATGCATGATGTTCAAACTTTTAACTTCAAGTGAGATAACTCATGGAATCCATGATTATAGGAGCTCTTGCCAATGTAGACAGCTTTTCACTATCATAGAATTACAAGATGGGTGTACCACAAAACAGAATGAGAACAATTCTAGGAAACTCTCAAGGAATATATTGGATGGATTTGGTACAAGAATCTCTATGAAGATCTTGTTTTTTTTAAGACAGACAGACATTTTGCTATACCATGATTCAGCAAGATGTGTCACGAGAACAACCAAATTTGCCAACTAGCTCCGAATGACAAAGAGAAATATCACAAACGAGGAGAAATGAGATCTTATATTCAAGGCCTAACCCATCGGTAGCCTCTTAAAGTTGGCATAATGTTTCACTTAGACACCTTAACTGGACGATGTTTATTTTAGACACCTCAGGTAAGATCCCGTTGTGTCATTTTGACACCTTTTTTAATATCAGCAAAAAAAATATAATGTGTGGATTACACTCGCGAATGAAGTGTAAAGTGACAAATTAAACAATGACATTTGTCATTTGTGTCAAAAATAATTTTTAAATAATTAATATTAAGTAAAAATAGAAACTGACCAATGAATTAATGACACATAATATTTTTCCCCAAATAAAATAAAATTTAAGCAAACTAAAAGAAGCCCCACCCCTGACCGTCTTCTCTAAAGCCCCCCGATCACCTTCTCAAAATAAACTTCCTCCCAACCCCCGATTGTCTTTCCCCAAAACCCCCAAACAAAAAACCCCCCTGCTGATTTGAATTTCTTTTTTGGGGCCTGCAAAATACCCCCTGGCTCCCCCCGCTTTGCTTTCTCCAAATCTCTATCCTTTTTTGCAGAAATCCCCACCCCCCCACCCCCGCATATGCATGATGCGCTTCATTGAATTCGCACCCCGCAAATTATCGAAATAAGCTTTTATCAATCTTCTTAAATTCACTTTGCCGGGAATATTAAATTCTTCCATGAAAGAATCTTATGAATGGGTTTATTCTTAAATTTTAAAAATATTTTCCATCATTTTTGTTGAAAAAACTTCATTCACAAATTGATGAAATTTAACTTGTCAAAATGATGGCTGAAAATGGAAAAGAAGATGAAAAAAATAATTAAAAATTAACTAAATTACACTTTCACGTGCCTATCAATGAGTGTATCACACTCATTATGCCATGTAAGCAAAAAGTGTTAAAATGATACAGTGAGATTCTACATGAGGTGTCTATAATGAACATCTCTTAGTTACGGTGCCTAAGTGAAACATCGTGCCAACTTTAGGGGGCCACCGATGGGTTAGGCCTATATTCAATTTTAGGACATAGAGAATAAAAATGCCGTTTAGAAGTATAGAATGAAAATCAGCTCAAGCACTTAGGTAGTGTGGAACATTTGATTCATTTAATAAAATTTAAGCAGAAACAGTACCATAGATCCTGGAACAGTACAACAGAACATAGGCTCATTTCATCATCAGTCAATCAACTATTCTCAATCCAAAACTAGCCGGGAGTTGGCAATATGAGTCTTTTATATCACTCTATTGCTTTTTATTTGACATATTTCATTGGAATACTATTGTGAGACAAATGAGAGCATAGCCTCACGCCTGTTCTTTTAATAATATTGGTCTCGCAACCGCTCTTTCTCTTTGCTGGTGAACTACTTATTGCATTGCTCTACCACAGAACTTCTATGTTCCAGCCATTCTGTGTGTTAATTTTCATCTGTTACTCATTCTCTTGGAAGACTTAACCTAGCTATTTGAAACACCGGCATTTAGACACCACAATCCCATCTAATCTCATTTTACCTTCACTCTCTTTATAAAATCTTAACTTTTTTTTTTGGATATAGACCTGATGAGAGCTAAACTTGTTGTTAGTATATTCAATCTTATTTCTAATTATCCTAAACCTTTCTCTAGAAGACTTCTCCACTCTTCAAACTTACTATTGACACGCTCACTAGTTTTGTCAGTTAACACAATATCATCTGCAAACACCATGAACCATGGATGATAGAACCTCATTTGATATTTTATTGCCTATTGGTTAGCACATCTATAGTTATGGTCAGCAAGTACTGAATTCAAGGTAGGTCTCTAGTGTAACCCACCATTATTAGAAACTCCTCTGTATCTCTCTCTATTCTTCTCACACTTGTAACTATTCTCTTGCATATATTATTTTAAGGCATTTATAGAAGTAATGATTTCTTCTCATGCACCTATCAAAAGATCTTTCTTGACACTTCATCATATGCTTTCTCTAGGTCCATGAATATCACATGGAACCCTTTTTTCTCTTGTTATAAACATCCATCAATATTTTTAAGAGAAAATATAGCATCTCCTAGGATAAGTTTTACTAGCTACGCCACATAATGACCAGGAGAAGAAGAAAAAAGAAACACACAAAAGAGAAAAAAAAAGGAAGAAGGATGCCAAGATAATAACACTGTAATTTCTCATCTAATCACAGACTATCCAACATTAAGAAACTCTAGAAATGAAGTATTCCAACTATGCATAGTGAAGTAAGAATTTGTAACACATCCTATCTTACATCTTTCCTGGTCAAGCACTATAAATTATTTGGGACGAAGCACAAACTTTTCCAAGATAAGCAAACATAGTAAGAGTACTGCATCTACCATTGGCAAAATCACTTCATATAGCAACTCCTTGAGATTAAATTACACAGAATTTCCCAGGGAGACCCTGGCCCCTGAACTCTCTTGCATCTCCAACTACTTTCCTTACTCTCCTACCACCATCATTATTCTATATCGAGGTTTTACTCAGAAATAGATAGTAAACTAGTGTCTTAGGCTGCTACTCTTTTTTTTCCTGCCAAAAGCAAGCCAGGAATACCTCTGCAAAAGATAACCATTTGAAATTTTCCTCACCCCAAATTTACAACTATCCAAGTCCTTGCAATTGCAGGGATATCATTTGACAGCTTTGCCTCATACTGTAAGTGTCTATTCAAAGGTTGTTCTGAGCATTAAGAATTATTCCTCAGATGCTCCATTGCTATCTACCAGCTAGTTTCAAAATGCGATGCTATATAAAGGTAAGAAGTCA